TCAAGTACAAGGGCCTGGCGTATACTAATATTTGCTTGATTAATGTCTCGAGTTATTGCGTGTTCTAAGGCTAATAGATAGTGGGTCTCAATTACGTTGGAATCAAATGAAGTCGATTTTGTAAGTGCATCAATAGCACTTGTGTGTAAACGTGAGCGACATTCGGGGTCTCTCTCTTGAATCAGAAAAGAATCGATAGTTAAATTTAGAGCAATGACAAAAGAATCAATAACCAAAAATTATGCTATTAAAATAAACAAACCTTCTCGGGCCATTAAATTATAACCGACGCCCATGCAACGCCACGCATGTGCCAACAATTCATTGTCAACACCTCCATCTTCATCCTCACACCAGGAAATTGCCCTTTGTGCAAAATCCAAAGTTTCTTTGGCCTATACACGATTTACCAAAATTAATCAATCTTATTATTTAAAGAGTATACTGTAAAAATTGTCAATAAAATCAATATATACTTTATTCAGATATTTTGCCATCAACTCAGATCCAACAATCAATGTTTGCACGACATGTTTTGTACTTTCAACATCTGTATATTTTTTCGAGGATGTTTTTTTAGATGCATTTTCTATTTCATCTTTACTGGTTTCTCTGACCTTTTCAACTATGGAAACATAGGCGTTAATCGCTAATTCTGCTTCTTCGTAATCGCCATAAGCAATAAGAGTGTTTAGAAGGTGTCTCAAAATCCTAGGGGATTGGAATGTTTTATGGGTGGCACGATAAAGCATCTACATGTAGAAGGTAATGATTATTTTCGGGGGTTATTAGATAAAAAATGTTATATATATTACAAATCAACAGAATACAAACATCAATGAGTCCTTTCATTTCTACTGTTGTTCCTCTGTTCAATAAAGCCCAGTCAGAAATAACCTGGTCAACAAACTCCAGAACCCTCCAGTTAGATTCTCCAGCTTTAGGAAATGGAGTAATCTGGTATAACACATTCTCATACGAGTAATGCAGCCCCGTCAATTCAACGCGAAATGTGTAAGGAGTATATACGGAGGATTTGTCGCTAGTGTATCAAATTCATAAAGCCTTAACGTTCGAAAATGACAGATGAGTAGCAAAAGAAATTGTCAAGGACGCAGATACCTCATAGGAGCGGAGGAACTTGGAGGAACATAGGTTCCCTCTTGATATGACTTTGAAAGAATTTTAATAAAATTCTTGAAAATTATAACTCTTTTATGAAGGCAGAACTTCTCTCCCCATAAAGCGACATAGGTTTGATAGGTCCGGAATGATTGAAGTGCATCACTCGCATTTCTATAATGAGAACAAAGATGTTACAATAATGAAATAAATGTTTAACGGAAGTGGCAGCAACCTATGATATTTTTATTTACCCTAATCGCACTTTTAATAATGATGATCTATATAAAGCTTCTTCGGACCATCGTGCCAATTGCTCCGATTTTTCACCAGATTTTTGGGCTAAAAGAATAACGACCTGGTCATAACATGCGATAGCTCCATCATTATCTTCGAGCATCTCCCTAGCCATTCCTTCATAGTGGATAATAATGCCAAGTTATGGAATAAAATTTAGGTATCACCTTGCGAAATGAAAGGATAAAACGAACCTCCTACTGTCAACGCTTGAATAATTAACACAAAATTATACCCAGATGGCAAGTTTTGTGGCACAAATTCAGTGCTCAGGGCCTCGGCGCATTTGTCATATCGTCCGATAACGTAATATGCTCTTGCTAGTATGATGGACACGTACTACCGATTGTAGCAAACAAAACATATAATTTTTCTTCAATTCATCAAAACTTTAAGTCCTTTGTTGATATTCATATAAATAATAGTTTCTTTAATTGAAAATTACAACCTGTATTTTTAATCACGAGTCATCAGTATAATCAACATGGTAAGGAGTGCTTGCAGAAATAAGATCAAATACCTAATTCCATGTAATGGGAAAGATTCTATCGATCTTTGGCTCACCTCTTTCTCTTGTCCAGAAGCTTGAGACAATGCGACTTCCAACTTTGCAAATATATCGTCAGCTGACGATTCCTCAACGGTTGGCGGAAATGTGATGTTATTTGGAGAGTCATCATCGTAGGATTCTTCCCTAAAACCTTTTTCTGCCTCGGTCTTTTCAATTGCTTTCACCAATGCATATTCTGCTAGTGCTGTTTGCTCGAGCACTACAATTAAATTGATCAACGGTAAATCCAAAGTAGATATATACATAAACCAAGTTCATCACTTTACCTATTCCTGATGCACTGTGTTTTCGGAATTTTCTTGCCAGTTCTGGTATCGCATCCCAATTACCTATTATGAAATTCAGGTAACAGGATGAGTGAAGAACTCTGCATTTTTTACGATTTCTATTAATCAAAGAATACCCTTGCATCGGGCCACATCGATTTCTTTTTCCCGTTGATTTGCTTTGGTTGGGTTCACCATTTGAATATTAATCGCGAATTGAGTCAGTCAGGCATGTACGCATGCTATTTATACTGGATGATAGAGTTTACCTCCGCTTAATTGGTCAAAAAAGTTTGAAAAAATTCCCCCAATTATATCGGCGGTATTATTTTTAAATTGTGTCTGTACTACGACCAATTTAAGATATTGCGTATCCCCGTTGATTAAACTTTCTATCATATCAAATTGTCCAATAAGGTTTATGAATTAGTATATATTACTGTATACAGTATAACATAATTTTAAAATATACTGTATTCGACTATATTTAATCGAGAATGAAGAAATAAAAATAAAATAAAAAATGAAATAAATATATATACAGTATATGTGTATATACAGTGCTGTGTATAATTTAATGAAAAATCAAAAAAATAAAAAATAAATTTAATTATAATTTAATTTCTTTGATTTTCAATTAATCTTACTTATCTCTATTCGTTACTATGTATAAAAAAAAAATTATTTTTTTTTATTTTTATTTAAAGATCAATTATTAAAATTATTGATCTTGATTTTATTTAAATCCTTTATATAAATTTTATGTAAAGATTATTGTAAAATTAAGATTTACATATATTTCTATGATGCATACAAATTGATGTTTCGTTTATGTATAATATTAATCTTGAGCTTTATTGATTATTCAAATATAAGATAAATATAATAATAATTTTTTTTTTTTAATAAATATTTTTCTCAATATTTTTCTAATTTTAAATTAATAAAACAAAAAGAATATGTAAGAAAATTATAAATACAGTATATGTCATCCATTGCATATTTAATATTTAATTATTTATATTGTGCAATTTGAATTCTTTTATTATTGCAAATGTTAATGTAGATAATATTTGAACACAGACTTTCTAGGAGCCGACACATCGGCCAATAAGGATTTGATGTTTTATTCGAATTTTTTTAGTAATAGTCGCATCTATGCTCTCGGAGTCGGCTACAATAATACGATGAACGTGAATTTGTTAGCATTTATTCATGCAGTTAATTCACCCCTCAAATCGAGCTTCAAAATCTTATATGTATGCAGCAGCACAACAAACTCTTAAATGGACACTTCGCATGATCTTAAAATTTTTTGGTTCAAACTTCTTGAGACTCCTCAGGGTAATGTCTAAAGATCCCAATCGTATCTCTTGATAACTCGTGAGCCAAGAAATTTCTTTTGTTACAATAAGATTAATAATAATGAAACATTCACACCTTAAATATCTACTTTTAAACTCATCATTCTATTGCTCCACTATAAGGTGCGCCATAATAACGCCAGTCTTCATTCATTCAATACTTTAATTTGTAGACTTTGAGGATTTTATCCGGTGGAACCTTATAAATAGTCACGCTAATTATTAGCTGCTTTGTTTTATTTCTAGTTAACCAACGTTTCCAGGATTTCTTTCAATTCTCAAGTTCATTAATTTTATGACTTTCAAATCCCTTGACTCACTTGTTATCCTTAACACGTGTACATACACCCTCGTGAGAAAGTCTTGCGTTCTTTCTAACTGTTATCCATCAGCACATGCTGTATATTGGAATAATCGAAACTTTTCATTCGTCCTCTTTCAAAGTTTACGAACGAATTCGTTAGCAAACACCAATTTATTCAGATCTACGTAATGTTCGTGAATCGTCTAATAATCCTTTTCTATGCTTGTCGTCGTATCTCACATGTATGCGTCGCAGTTGTTCTTGTTTAAGTAGAATAAAAATTGAAATTTTAAATTAACTCTAAATTATCCACACGTTCCATGGTTTACCATCTAAAGATGAGATGCCAAAATGTTCTCTTCTTTGAAACTTTGGGAATACTCAAAATTCTCGATAATATCTTTAGCCATATTTTGCACTTCTTCGCTCAATATTATGCTCGTATTAACTTTGAATCTTTTGATTATTCCTCTCAATCGACATAAAACGACTTGAAGGTGTACATCACTGAAACATTCAGATCTAGTTATTTCCAAGGTATCAAGTGGTGGTTTGGATTTAGCAAGAAACGTGTCTAACGCTAATGGTGTAAACTTCCATTTTCCATGTAGCTCCAGATGATTCAAGTTGCATAACAGTTGCATTTGGAACATTAAATCAACATTTGCGGAGAATTCCTTTCTTTTAATAATTAAGGTTTCGAGCTTTGGTGAGGAGTAAAGTACCGACATTATCGAGGTAATTGATCCTACTTCCGCTTCACATTTGAAATAGGTAAGGTCCTTGCAATATCGGATAACAGGCAGGAGGGTGTTCTTGATGTAACTGGCACTCCAAATGTCTTTCACTATGTACGTTAAACTATCCCGATTCTTTTGAATCTCCATATCAGTCTCTCGATATTTGGAAATATGAAATCGTTGTGATGGACTACTCATATATTTCAATATTATCTCAAGGTGGTTTCCCTCTAGACATTCAGATTCCGTTAACACGAAATTATCAAGTGGTGATATTAGATTGGTGAAAAACGTTTCCAACGCCTCGGCTGTAAATTTCCAAGGTCCTTCTAACACCAGTTTACGTAGTTTTGGTGATATTTGTCCACTCGTTAATAATCTTTCAATATCCACAATGTCGGCCCACGCCGTGTTTAAATTAATGGATTCAAGGTTGGGCAGACTGAATATCGAAATCAGGGGTTGTAATGCGGTGAAAACTGCATCGATTTCGAAATGGTTGAGACTTTTACATCGTCGACCGACTGTGTCGAGAAAAGAATCGGCATTACTACCCACCGGAAAATCCATGCAAGTATAAATTATCGATGTTAACATTGAGCATGATGAACTCGCTATGGCAACATTTTGATTCACCGATATCACAGGGGGATCGAGGTCATATAATTTGTATTTTACCAATCGCGGAAAATGGACAAAGCTTAATGGCCAAGTTTCCTGATTGACAAGACTTCCATTTATAAAGGTTAATTCTTCCAGGTTCGCAAGATGCACCACGTCTGATATGTATTCAGATCTAAGTACATTAACACAAACAAATGTGAGTCGTGTCAAAGACTTTGATTGACTCTTCAATCCCAGGGCAATGTGCGCACTTTTTATATCGCAGTTAAGGAGTTCAAACTCCAATAGTGACTTTTGAGAGGTGATAAATGCCATTAATTCGGGAGGTGCAGATGGCGGCATTATATCATTCATATCCAATACCATTTTCTGCAAGTTATGACAATATTTAGACATCTCGTGAAAACCTGTTGTCGTCCACGATTCTTTCGACACAAACACAATCCACTCGAGTTCAACAAGGTGGGAGAAGCATGTATTTGCTTCAGGACAAGTTGTAATTGATAAAAAACCATCGGCAATATTATCGAATAATATGTTTTCTTGAAGATTTTCCAAACTCTCATCAATGTCAACAGAAATCTGACGATTCATGGTAAGAACGTCTAATTTCGTAATTTGCTGCACTAAAAGTTGACATATTCTATTGGTTAACCCTTTGATTATAGATTCTTTATGGTTTACTCTAGTGACTCTAAGCAATAATGATGCAATAATTGCATCGCGAGTTCGCTCCTCCTCTATTGATCTACCGAATTTCGATGAAAAGTTATACTCAACCCAATATACAATTGCGGATCCCAGATCAACTAAATCAAGGTGACGGATGAATTGAACGTAATTAAAAGTCGGTCGGGATAACTCATGAGTTATTCCATCAAAAAGTTGTTGATTCTTGTGACCGGCGGGACTATCTTCTTCATGTTCAATTTTTTGATTATGGATCAGGCATTCCATCAGAGTATTCATAAATTTTCCGTTGGTCGAACAAAGTTGATCGAGTTCAATGAGCAAACCGTTTGCCGGTCGAACGAAGAGAAACGGATTTCTCCACAAGAGCTTGATGGCGCTTAAGCACCACAAACGATTAACCAACACGCAAGCGTAAAGCGTACATTCGTCATCCTCAAAATGAGCAAAAATCATCAACAGACAGTCCCCTGGGAGACAAGACATTGTTTACAAATCTAATAATGATGAAATCAATTTCACATTATTAATAATTCTCACATGATTGTCCACTTTTTAGTAAAAATTTTCTTACCAATTTTAACAAATCGATTCCTGAGAGAAGAGTAGTGTAGTCGCCGATCCAAGATTTTTTTGCCCTTAAATTTTTGCCGGCGGAATATCACAAGTGTCACATGTGTTAGGATCACCGGTTCTATAATAAGAAAAAAAAGATACGGTATCCGTTTTTTTTTTTTTTTGAAAACGACAAAATTTTACTCAAAGATTTTTAAATTTTAAATAACTAAGTGTATTTTCAAATAGTTTTTGCTATTAATAAATTTTATTTCTATTTTTTTATTATCCAAAAAACTTATTTTTAATTATAGTATATCATTGTTAAATGCATAGTATGTTATTGTTAAATGCATACACATATTATATCAATTATTTTTTAATAACATAATGATTTTTTTAAAGTAACTTTCTTTTTTAAAAAAAAAATTTCTACAGTATTTACCAATCCATTTCAATTGTAAAAAAAAATTGGAAAGATAAATGCGCATAGATATATTTATGATTTGATTATATTTAATAAAACGATAAATTTGGTTTATAATATTGTGAATAAAATATTTTATGTTACATTGATACTTCGATTAAAATAATTATTATAATCTTATTCATCTTTATATAATCTAATTGGTTTTTGGTATTGATCTAATCAATTGAATATAGCATATATTGAAAAATTATAGTAATTAATATTATAATTATTTTATTTTATTATATTAATATTAATATTATGTATTTGTTAAATATTAAAAACTATAAATTAAAAAAATATTGAAATCATTTGTACAAGTTTATTAAGTTTAATATTTATTTATAATGCAATTAAAATTTTTAAAGATAAAAAAAAGAAAATTTGTTTATTTAAAAAAAAAATCAAGATTTATACAATGCAATTCACTTAATCATCACAATTACTGCGCCACCTGCCAAATTTTAATCCAGTGGCTTAGCTGATAAATTTTACATTACATATATCTTTTATATAAATGTTAGCTCAAAGTCAAATAATCTCTTTCACATCAATTTCAATTACTGGCTGCTTCTGTAGGATTGGAAACGTTTTCATATTCTTCCTTACCAATTTCATCTTTATTAATGATATGTTATATGTAATACAACATAATAAGAAATCCAAAAAAGATATGCCATATCAATCATAAACTGAAATTGAGTTCTGTTAATTCTTACTATCACTATACAAAATCCTAAACTAAAAATTAATCATTATCTCTAAAAGCACAAACACAACCGTTATTATTATAGATATAAAAAAAATTTATTGAATTTTAATAAGTATTTATTAATGGTGTTTACTAATGTTATATTTATCCAATTTAATCTCAATATCATCTAATACGATAGTTGAAACATAATGATAAGAACGGTATTTTTTAACAGCATACTCTACTGCCTTTCCAATTAAGTCATTTCTATAAGTACTCATATATTATTGTGATTTCCTCGCAAATCTACGAATAGTATTAATATAAACACTATTTAAAGCCTTTGGAATTCTCTCCAAAAAACCTTTCCAGGTATAATTACACCTCTTTCATATATACCTTTTACACACTCTAATACATTTCTATATAGTTTAATTCGTAATAATATTTTGGGTAAAATAATACCTTATGTCTGGCAGCCTTAATTATTTCTTTAATCCACAATTTCTGAATTAGAAAATCAGATTGTTGACTCATGATTTGTCGTGCATAACAATTTAAATGATTTTCATTGTCAATGCCATTCTTGCAATCTTTACAATCAAGCGAATAACCTTTTTTCTATAATTTACATTCTTCCAAGACTATTTTGATTCTTTTTGATTTGCTATCTGAAAGTGTCATCATTTGGAACTGTCCATTGAATATAGTATTCCTAATTTTGTAGCTTCCATCTGATTTTAAATTTATAACATTTGCTTGTAAGGCATCTTCAACATATCTATTATGGCTTGTTGCATTATTAAAGCAAACTATCATTATGCACCTAGGATAAGTAGCCTCAAATAGAGGAATAAGTTTTTCTTTCACTTGTTTTACTAATTTTCCATGTTCTACTATCATTCATTACTAGTACCAGGAACTAGATCTTCTCTTGCAGTTTTTGGTAAATGCAGATATTATTTTTGTTTTTCAAGTGTTAATTGTAATTGTCTGATTATTTCTGTCAAGAAGTGACTTACATGATATTTTTTGCTTTGCTCTTTTTTTCGAAGTAGCTACTTTCCATCTTCAACCTATTGAAACTTGGAAGCATCATATGTATAAAATACTAATTTGTCGTGAATTACTAATATATGAAGTTTTTCTCCAAGTAAAAGTTTTGGATCTTTTCGACTTTCAAGATTATTACCCTCAAATATTGGTATTAACCATTTCAAACTTTCTAATTCTTTTAGAAAATTTTTTCTATATATAATAATATCAGGATGCTCATATTTATTGACATAAACACCTTTTTGGTATTGCTTCCAGGACCATGCATAATCATGCAAAAATCTATTTACAATACTTTTACTTATTTTATTTTCAATATTACAGCCAAAAGAAGGTAACACAGTTGTATTAATGTAATAACAAAGTTTTTTTATTGTAAGATATTCATTTTTCAGTAATGTATAGATATAACTTAAAATTTGTAAAGTTATATTCTTATCACTAAGAAGTTTTCGAATTTTTGGATACTTGCCATGTTTTGATACAAAAATATCCTTATTACGAATCCATTGAGTTGCCATAATCAAATAAGCCTTGCCAACCAAGATTTCCATCCCAAGCCTTGTTATACAATTTCATTTGTTTTAGTTGGTTGGTAACCATTAATAAGATATCATATATACTGCTGAACAGCCTCAATTTTTGCCTTTATGCCTTTTTCTAAATCCTTTTTATTTGCAGTATTTGCTAATTATAGTTGTATTTCAGGCCAATTAAGTTCTTTTTCATATTTGGTATCATTTATTTGTTTACTTTTATTTTCTTGATATTCCTTTTCAAACATATTTTTAGCAATCTCCCAAAGTATAGCATTTTTTCATTATATAGTTCTGCTGAGTTACCCAAGTATTATTGTGGATGATTAGAGACATGTACATCTAAGTTCTCAATGTTTGTTTGAAATATAACATCTTTAGAGTTATCATTATCATTATGCAGTTCCTGAGAAGTTAAATTCAATATAAATAAATCATTGGATTTTCAATATTTGGAAATTGCTTGTCGAGCTTGTAACTAATGTTTTGAATATGGTATTGTTACTAATGATAGAATTTATATACATTTTACAAATTAACAGATATGCGATTAATTATGTACTTTTGATTTTAGCTTTATAAGAGTTATTTTAATTAATTTTTTGGGATATATATCAATTACATTTTTTTATAAAAATAAAAGGCATTTGTAGTGATGGATAATCAATAGGATTTAGATTTATATTATAGTAAATTTAAGGAATTTATTTATTTAAGATTAAGTTCGTGTGCTGTAAATAGAATAAATTAAGACTATAATGGTATATTATCAAGTTATGATTATTTATAAAAATCAATAAAAAATTTATATGTATTATTACTTTTTATTACTATCTACATATATATACAGTATATCATTACTTTTTATTACTATCTACATATATCATTACTTTTTTATTATACGTGTATTATATAAAATTTGAATCAATTATAATATCTTCATTGTCACATGATATTTAAAAATAGCAGTCAAATTCTTTAAATATATATAAAAATCTTAATTTTTAAAATCCATTAACTTAATAATCAAAATTTTCTAACTTAAAAAAATATGTAAAATTATAAAACAAACTGTAAATTGTTAACTTATGTATTTTTAAAAAAATTTAATTATTAGAAAAAACTTTAATAGAATTTAAAATTAAGTTTTTTTTTGTATGGTAACTAAGTAAATGGCACTGTATAATTTTTTTAATTTTTTTAATAAAATCATAAAAAGTTTTTTTGAAAAAAACATCTACTTCAAAAAAAATTTTTTATTAAAAATATATATATAAACTTTATTTTTAAAATATACAATATATATTATTAGTCACTGCAAGACTTTATGGAATTGGAAGAGATACAACATCTACAAGAATAATGAATGCAATAAAACATACTGAAGCAAAGACAGTACATATCCCTCTAAACAGCCGATTTGGGAAAAAAAGAAGATTTACAATCATATGTTTCAAGAATGAAAAAAGTTTCCAACAAGCAATAACAAATCACATCTTTCTATTTGGAAATCAGACCTGGTGGAGCATAAAAGATGGTGATACAGTATATAAAGACCCACAAAGCAATAAGAAGCCTGAAAAAACAAACACATACAAAATCCTTCACAAAAAGACAAGCCAGGCAATCAAATAAGATTTCACACAGACAAATAAACAAACCTTCTCTGACAAGGTACAGCATAATCTCAAGAAGGAAAAATATATCAAAGGAAGAAGAGTTAACAAATCCAGTACAAGATTCAACCCAACCGGACCACCACTTGACCCACTTTCACAGATAGCAAAACAACTTAGCTACTTCAGCACCAGGTTAGCAAATCTGGAAAAGAGTCACCTAACTATAAATGGAGCTGAAACAGGCTCCAACTACTCCTAAAGAACACCAAGATTGAACCCAGAAAAACTGCGATTGAGTTCTGGTCAAGCCCAAATACAGAAGCAGACAGACCACAGCATCTTACGAACCCTATATCCAACTCCTCCCTAGGGACCAAACAAAAAACCTCATCAATATCAAAATTCCTCAAACAACAAAAAACAATTCATCTTAATAAGAACTCATATACCTCTCTCCCCATTTCACAT